TTTTATTATCAAATATATATATATATCTTTTGCAGTCACCACTGAAATGTCCTCAATACGATTTTAATTTAAAAATGAATTAGGTTTATGTTTTGAACGAGAAGCGTAGTCTGAAACGACAACAGATGCATATGAAGCTCATTCGTAATATTGCAACCAGCAGAAGGTTTCCTTTACTAGGAAAATTTTACTCCTTTTGTAAATTTACTGCATTTGTTCATCTTTGGCACCCTAAAAAGAAGAAAAAAACAATGACTTTAGAATAGGAGAAAATAAACAACTTTGCTATAAACAGAATGAAAAATGAATAAAATGTCTAACAAAATGCAGGCTATAAATTTCATAGTGCACAAAAAAGAAGGACTGATTTAAGGAAATTTGTCCATGAACAATTTCAATATTTAGCCAGTTTAATAAAAAATTTCGGGTATCAATCAGAAAAAATCGCCACATTGTTGGATCAAATTTTACGAAAATAGTCTTATTTTCACGAAACAACATTTGGGAGTACTATTGGCCCATAAAATTATATATTTATTAGCATATTTTCAAGTTTTAAGAAAAAAAATTGGGAGATCAAATGGTTTCTACGGCAATAGGTGAAGTAAAATGGGCCGAGTTTTAACGTTGTTTGTATTTGATTAATCTCATCATTAGAACACATTTTATCAATAACAAATTATTAGAATTAGTTTTTTGTAACTTTTAAATATACTTGCATGCTTTAGCTGTGAAAGGTATCGGCATTATCCATTAGAAAAATCGTGAGGCGTAGAACCTTTTACACAACAATACGGGTTATTACCCATAAATCCATCGGATTAATCGGCTTTCCGGTGGCCACGTCATTTCATTGGCTGTTATATAGACTCTACTAGAGTTGCGAATCTCTTGTATTATATGTCTCTGGTGCCTCTAACCTAGTTCTTGCTTATAATGAAACTGCTATCTCTTGGATTTCAATTATATATATTACCACATGCACATTGTTTGTTGATTGTTGTTTCGAGACAAAACAGAACCATAACAACTTTTTGTAAGGCCTTGACTGGCCTTTTGTAAAACAGTGTGGAGTTAGGTTAACTACAAGTTTAGATGGATCACATTGATCCCTCGATTTGTAGCCTATATTTATGGGGACAGTTTGTTCCCCTGACTGTGTTCTCTCTTCTAATAAGCTGTGATCTCTTGAGTATCAGTTATAGTCCCTTTAGTTTTTAATAGTGGTTTTGTGACTGATAATAGTCCAAACCATAAGAACTTTTTGTAAGACCCTGATTGCCCCTTTTATTAGCCAGTGTGGGGACAGTTTTACCACTAGTTTAGAGAGATAAAGTTGCAGCTCTTAGCTGGAGCCTACATTTATAGGGACACTTTGTCCCTCTGACTAGTTCTCTCTTCTAATCAAACTGAAATCTTTTGGTTTTCAGTTATAAATATTACCACAGGCCAATGGGTTGATAATAGTGTTTTTTGGCTAGTACAGTCTGAACCATAAGAAATCTAACTTGCATTTGATGAATTCCCTTTAACCAATGAAGTTAAAAAGAAAGTGTGATGGATAAAACTAGAGGCCCTAAAGAGCTTGTGTCACTCACCTTGGTCTATGTGCACATCAAACAAAGGACATTCTCCAACATTGTAGACAAGAATAGACTTCATGACAAAAATCTCTATTTTGTTGATCTTGTATAACTGTTTTTGTCTGTTTAGTTTCTCTCTATCTTCTTTAGTTTTTGCTCAAAACACAAAAGAGGGTAAAAAAAATCCTCATTTAAGGGCAATCACTCCTATGAAGAGTGGCAGTCTACTATTATATCGTCAAAAATTCACTTTTTAATACATTTTTTGTAGATCTTGCCTTGCTGATCATTTTTGTGATTTAAAGTGTTTATTGATCTATTATAATTTAAATCATATAGGGCATAACGGAAAAAAAATGTTTCTCTCTAAATATCATAGTTTTCATGGTAAAAGGGCAAAAATGAAAAAAATGGTAAAATTTGTCATTTATGGGCAATAACTCCTATAAGAATTTGTCTAACAGTTTTGATGTATATGGACAATTGGTAGAGCTCATTATTCTAAACATTTTTGCTCATTTCAGATTTTCTCTATTTATAACAGTTAAAAAAATAATAGACAAAATCTGCATTCTACTCCTATGTTCTATTTTTATCCATGTTGGCCATGTTGGTTGGTAGGCGGGATCATTGGACACATTTTTTAAACTAGATACCCTAATGATGATTGTGGCCAAGTTTGGTTAAATTTGTCTCAGTAGTTTCAGAGGAGAAGATTTTTGTAAAAGATAACAAAAATTTACAAAAAATTGTTAAAAAATGACTTTAAAGGGTAATAACACCTGAAGGGGTCAATTGACCATTTTGGTCATATTGACTTATTTGTAGATCTTACTTTGCTGTACATTATTGCTGTTTACAGTTTATCTCTATCTTTAATAATATTGAAGATAATAACCAAAACCTGCAAAATTTTCTGAAACTTACCAATTCATGGGCAGCAACCCAACAATGGGTTGTCTGATTTGTCTGAAAATTTCAGGGCAGATAGATCTTGACCTGATGAATAATTTTCAGATTTGCTCTAAATGCTTTGGTTTCAGAGATATAAGCCAAAATCTACATTTTACCCCTATGTTCTATTTTTAGCCATGGCGGCAATCTTGGTAGGCGGGCCGGGTCATCGGACACATTTTCAAAACTAAATACACCAATGATGATTGTGGCCAAGTTTGGTTAAATTTGGTCCAGTAGTTTCAGAGGAGAAGATTTTTGTAAAAGTTAACGACGACAGATGCCAAGTGATGAGAAAAGCTCACTTGGCCTTTTAGGCCAGGTGAGCTAAAAAGGAGATACACCAACTCTAAGGGAAAAAAAGCATTCAAATGAATAATTGTCTGACCAGTTTCAGTCCATCATAGGCTTACTGATTATTGGTTGTGCCCCATGTAAATTGTTTTATTATCTGTTATCTCTTATAGATAGCTACTAATCTAACTAGCTACTAATTGAACCTTCAGAAGTAATACTCTATTGTTTTTTAACCTCAGATAACTTAAACTTAGAATTGTCTATAGAGAAGTTATCCTCTAAAGCAGGGATCAATTCATGGGAATAAGCAACTAACCTTATATACATAAACCTTGGGAAGTTATCCTCTGGTTCAGTAATGTAGGAATTAACCAGACTGAGAATTATTTGAACATTCGGATGTAAACGTTCGGTTCAGTGATGTAGGAAATGACCTAAATCAGAATTGTTTGAACATTTGGATGTAATCCTCTAGATGTAAGATTTAACTGAATTTTTATAAGTAATTCTCTGGATCAGTGTTTTATGAGCCATTCCTAGAGCTAACAAACACATGTAGAAAAGATGGTTAAATACAACGAACCAGTCGGTGACTATGGGATACAATTCAACATTGAGCAATCTACACTCCCAAAATCATGTTTCTTTGACTTTTAATAATGCTAGACAATGTATATAAACGAATTAAGAAGAATTGGCAGAGAGAATAGAATAGCATAAAGACACAGATTGTTTTGTTCATAAAAATGACATTTATTTTCTTCAAAAGATGACATTTCAAATTTTGTTGACAATACTAAACTTTTATGATTACAAAACAGAATATGACCGACTACCTCTACACAATTATGATTACAATATAAAATACACATTAAATAAATGATTGAGTCAGATCTTTATATAGAATGTTACTACAAATTTATACATAGATCAGATCTGGGGAAAATGATTGTTTACAAATAAGAATTGTCAAAGGAGAAATCTGTTATTAAAGAACATTTTTATCAAAGATTTAATATTCTTTGTAGCATTTTCTTGAAATTTAAATGACATCATATACAATCAAAGTGCATCTGAGCACTGAAGGGTAAAGATTGCTTTCATTTTGCATTGATATGAACTTCAAATTCAATATAGCCATACGATATATTTTAAATTAGAGTTATCTTCCTTTGTTTATAATTGTTGAACCTATTTTTATAACAGATTCAAACATAATATACAACTTATGCAATTTTTAATAAAATTGTTTTCTTGACAAGTAAGGTTATACAAATACACTTAATTTTGTAACTCGAATATCTGAGTATAACATATAAATAACAAATAGCATGATATTAGCTATATATGATCTAAAGAATGTTCAACTTACTATGTTGTCACAAAGGTAGTGATAAACCTAGGTAGAGACAGATATCAAGCCAGCCACATAAGTGCTTTGATTGCATGAATGCAATCTTTACCCCAAAAATACAAGAAGAAAGCCACTATTTTCCAAGAGAGTTCTTTTCCTTCAATGCATTTGTAACATTAATAGTGAGTTACCGTTCTTAACTCTTGTTTCACAATACTAAGTTTTGTTGTTATAAATTGTTACATAACATTGCATACCAATATTTTGATGTTAACAAAGTTACAAACTAATATTTTTCAATGCAACTAAAAAAATAGCATGTTGGATCCAGTTTGTTGTATGCAAATACTTATTACTGGTAAAAACCTAAAAGTGCTTACAAAAAACAAATAAAATGCTTCGCTCCGCAGAGGTCCAACCCTGAACAGTTCGGGCAAAAATGGACACAATATTCGCGCTTGATACAGGTCTGAATTTGGATTGAAAATAAATATTTGACACATAATAGGTTTCTGACACCGAATAACTGTAGTCAAAGAACTTAGAATTGGTTATATAATTTGAATTTATATTCAATTTTTAGCTTTTGTGCAATACACTATGCTGTTGTGAAATTGAACCCCCCCAAAAAAAATTTACCCCCCCTTTTTTTTTGCTTTTGTGAAATACACTATGCTGTTGCGTATTGACATCCCCCCCCCCTTTTTTTTGCAAAAAGAAATAATATTGAAAAAATTTTCTTTTTTAATTTCTGTAATCTGAAATGAAAAAAAAAATTGCCCCCACAATTTCTTTTTTACCCCCCCTCCTAAATTTTTTTTTCACCCCCTGCCCCCCTTTTGAGATCCATTCACTTTGACTAAAGTTAGAGTGCGAAAACCAATGTGTCTTCAGACGAGGACGAGGACGTCAACATCATACGACCGCCAAAATTTTTTGCGGTCGTATAAAAACTCATAGTAAAGGTGGAAGTATGACCAATATAAAGGCAGTGTTTGTGGTATGATAGTACCCAACAGAATTTCCAAAAATTTCTGGTGTACTTGATGAAATGTATGTGGTAAGATGCAAGTCATCACTATTTGGTGTACAGCATAAGAAATTAGTCAAAGCAATTTCCAACAATATCTGATGTACATATGTGGTAAGATGATAATCATCAATATCTGGTGTACAGTAAGAAAATAGTCAACATAACTTCCAGCAATATCTGGGGTACAGAGTCTGCCAAGAGAAAATTATAAGTAAGCTATTAGTAAAAAGAATTCCCAACAAAATTTAATATGGTAAAGCATTTCAATATACAATATTGCTGGACATGAATAGATAAACAACTCTTTATTCACCATTATGTCTAATATAGACAAATCTATAACTGAAAATATACATTCAAATCAGTGGGATATCAAGGTGGATATAGTAGTGTTAAGTCCTCTTTGGATTTATCTTAATTTTTAATTACAAATAAAAAGGGGGAAAAAGTCTACTCCATTTTTCCAGGTACAACACCTAGAACCTCTTTTTTACAAACTGAATTGAAAGTCATTGTAAAACATAAATCATTTAATAATCTACAAAATATAAATATTTTGTAATATTTGTTCAAAGGGCAGCACAGTAATGATAGTTTTGTACAACATTTCAGCACTCAATGAATGTTAAATTTCATATTCTATCTAGAAAAAAAAATTCTACACAGTCAATAAAATATATTGCAGAAGAAAAGAAAACACCTATTCATAATGCCAATTTTTGTTTTTCTATCTTCATATAGTATGAGAACTTAGTATGACAAAGTTTAATATGTCCCATTTTAGTAATGACAAATGTATGATAACTCAGGTGTTTTATAGGCTTAATGTCAAATTAGGTGGTGATCACCTGTCTGTTATGATGAGACTTTGCTTAATCAAAATACTAAGAGTTATCTCCCATTGCACAACCTCCTTTTCATGATCAATAAAATCCACTTAAAAAACTTGTTCACAGGACAATTCCAAACATTATTTCTGATTAGGTTTACGGGTAAGTAGATGTATATATCAGATAACAAACATTTTAACTCTCCATTTCAACAACCATTTTACAAAATCAAACATGATTTACAAGGTTTCAGTAATAATAATTTCTCTAGAAAAAAAACTAGCCTGAGGAAAAAAACAGGACAGATGCAGTATTCAAAATATATTGATTTAAGTCGGAAATTCTATTTCAATCCACATGATTAACCTGATTTCTCAATTTTAACAAATTGGTGAATTGATGTTTGTAATATTTCAACATATCTGAAATGTATACTTGTCAAAGATTAACTGTTGAGCAAAAAAGTTGGAGAACAATAGCATAATATATGTAGTTACAAGGAGATTACAAACTCTTTTTCAATCTTACACTGTGATCTATGATATCTAAAAATAAATGAAAAATTTGTCGTTAATTTGAACTTTTTTGCCTATGTTCATTTAAAAAGATCAACCTGTACATTTCACTACTGTGTTGACACAAAAAGTTATTTATATACAACCATGATACATTGAAATGTCAATGTACTATCATGAAAGAATGATCATTTATGACTTTTTAAATAATAACTTCTTGATAAGTATAGCCTAAAGCCTACTGTCTTGAAAGTCAAATCTTTCTTTCTTCCATACAACTGATTATTTCACAAATGATATAAATTGATTCAAAACTACAAAATACCCTGTTGGTTAGTTTTAAATGTTAAAAGAATCCAAATTTTCTGTTTTCAAATAAAAACTCCAATTTATATTTGATCCTGCAAATTTTATCTGATGAACTTATTTTTTGTAAACATTATTATAATAAAAGTGATTTATATTTGATCCTGCAAATTTTTGTCTATAAAAAGCCATCTTTAAAAATATAGTAATTAAATCTGAATATGATCCTTCTTCTTCATAATTTATTTTACTCTATTTTTCCTTCTTCTGGCTGACTTGTAGCTGGGGGAGGTATACTAGCCCCTGGGGTGCTGCTGCCTGTGGGGGTTTTCTTGTCCTGACCCCAGGGACTATGAGCTACAGATGGTGAATTTTGAAAGTCTTTGCTATCTTCCTCAGGATTGTTGGTTTCAAATTGTGAATTTTCCAATCGTGTTATCAACCTTTCATCTTCGTCACCGAACTCCCCTCCCATCAAAGTAGGTTCTCCGACAACCATTACATCCTGTTAATCAAAAGATAATATAAAAGTGTAAAAATCTGCTGTTGGAAGTGGAATTCTAATATGTATTAAATGTTCACTAATGAAATAAAGTGAGGAAGAGATTATTTTTTATCCTTATGTAGTAAATTCAGAATTTTTTGCAATGTTTTTATTCATGCAAAGGGAAAGATTTTCCCTAAATAAAAACTAACATTTTTAATTTTGATACATTATATCACAATAAAATAATCTCATATTTTTGTCTATCTGTGAACAATCTCAATAACAAATGCATGCACACATTTCTGAATCTACAGTACATGTATTTAATTTGATCTGAGATGAATGTACACATTTTGTAATTGTGTGATAGTGATAGTGACAAAATAATCTGGCTAATGCTTTGAAGATTTCATATTTTTGCGTGTCTTAGTCAGATCATGTTAAAACATTACAGAATGATATGTAATAATTCAGTATGTTGTCATTGGTGTAAACATCTTGTCATAAAGACTTACAATACCTCTTTATTATATGTATTTTAGTTATCATATCTTATGTCAATGTATTGTTCTCGTGACATGTCTCTTGATTTGTTTTAGAAATTATAACTGTATAAATGTAGATATGCCCCTTGTAGGCCCCTGATTGGTGAATAACAATATCTATATTTGAATTTTTTCTTTATTTTCTAAAGGCCTCCCTAACACAACAATATATCAAATTTTATGTATAATGTCTTCTGATACTGATGGAGAAGCTTTAGTATCTTTTATTTTTCAAAAGTCAGTAAATAGTGTCACAAAAAGTTCATGTTTATGTTACACTTTTGTTCATTTAAATCTTTTAATAAAATTTTACTTTAATTGGACACTAGAAAACAGAGACAATTGTCTGTCATTCCTTGGATTTTTTTTAGGTATAATAAAATTATTAAAACCAGATCCCTACAGGACTGAAAATTCTGTTTAGACAAAAAACAATTAAGATCAGGGAAATACTTTCTTCATATTTTCTTAAACTAAGCCCTTAAGATTAAATCATTTCTTAGATTTTAAATTACGTAACCTAATGATTGGATCAGGAGATCCATCACTGTTTATTGAACTAACCCAAAGGGGTCCTTGTGCCATGAGGTCAAGGAGTTTTCCAAAGGGGCCTCGGTGGCCCAGTGGTCCGAGTAGTCCAACTACCGTATCACTAGCCAGTCACCACTGAGGTTGTGAGTTCATATTCCGCACGGGGCAGGTGCACTCAATTCCAATCTTAATTGACTAGGATTGTTAGTTTTCCTACCGAAGGTCGATGGTTGTCTCCGGGAACTCCGGCTTCCTCCACCAATAAAAACTGACCGCCACAAAATAGCACAATAATGTTGAAAGTGGGGTTAAACACCAATCAATCAAGGAGTTTTCCTTTGTTGTATCTCCACCACAGCTTATTGAAATTTTCCCAAGAACAGAACTAATGGGTCAAAGTCCAGGAGATTTGATTGTTTCTTTGTTGGACCTCTAAGTTTACTTATTAAACTTACCCCTGGAACAGAACTGCCAATGCCTTGAGGTCCAGGAGATCGTTTCTTTGTTGGACCTCTAAATCTACTTATTAAACTTACCCCTGGAACAGAACTGCCAATGCCTTGAGGTCCAGGAGATCGTTTCTTTGTTGGACCTCTAAATCTACTTATTAAACTTACCCCTGGAACAGAACTGCCAATGCCTTGAGGTCCAGGAGATCGTTTCTTTGTTGGACCTCTAAATCTACTTATTAAACTTACCCCTGGAACAGAACTGCCAATGCCTTGAGGTCCAGGAGATCGTTTCTTTGTTGGACCTCCACCACTATTCAGATTTCCAGCAGCATTTCCTGTTGAAGATTTCCGTTTCCTCCTTTTACCTGGCTGTCTTGTTGGTTCTGCAAAATCAGCAAACAATCCATCTTTAACAACAGAACAATAAGCTATGTTTTATTTTTCTGGATCTTTAAAAAAATCTTGCAAGACGCCAACAGACTGTGCAACACAGCAAAGCACACATACATTATACATGTATATATGTAGAATATTTGCAATGAGAAAGCTCTATACCTCTTTTCAGAACTCCCATGTAGAGACTTAATGTTACAGTCCTTATTGTGAATGTGTAGAAAGAATTGTTGAAACTATAGTATGCATAGTCATACCTTCTATAAAGGTCACCACTATTTAAAATGAAAAACCTCTATTTGCAAGTCACCCTCTCATTGTCAAGGTGGAGTAATATCATTTTAAACCTCAATTTAATAAAAGGTCACATCTTCTATAAGGTAAGTTTTTTCTGGTCCCAATGGTGACCATTAAATACAGATTTTACTGTAAACACCTATGAAATCTTAATAATCTTGAAAAAATTTTGTTTGCCTACCAACAATAACAGTATCATTTAAACACCACTTAAGCTAATATGAATCATAAGAATATATGATTGTATCATTATTAATTAATAAAATACATTATTCTATCAATAGACATATTAGTCTATCAAATACTCACCTTGCTTGCCTTTGCCTGGAGGAGCTACCATTCTCTGCCATTTTTGGAACAAAGTTGTTTTGAGACAATCCCTTGGATTTAACCCGTATGCTTTATGTCTAGACATTAACTCCTGCATTGGTTCCAAGATTACACAAAGCTGAAATAGGAAGTTTGCTGGTGAGTTTCAAAATAACAAAAGTTCCACAATTGTTGTTATATTTTGAAATACCTTCACTAATATTAAGTCAGAAAAAAATATTTGCCGTTGTGTTTAATCATATTTTTATTGTCAAAATATAAGATTTAATAAGGATTCAATCAGATTTTTCAGGTATGTAGTTTAAGATAAATTCAATGAAATTATGAAAAGAAAACTGGGGATGAGGTACTGGGCATATTTTTCGAATGCTATTTAATTGAAAAAGCCCAAGAAACTCAAAATAATGAATACCAATTAGCACTGAAAATTAAAAAATAAAATGTGTCAGAACAAATGTACATGTATCAGCTAGTAAAAATATCTATAATTCTCCTTCAACATTAATTTTGAATACACAAGTCATTTGTAACCTTTATGACAAATATTCTGTTACCATTACATAATCAGATATCTCCCATTCCTAACCCATTTTGGTGCCCTGATTACATTCATCAAAATAAATAACATGGATGATTTTGCTCATGGAATTACAAATGAGAAATAGCTGTACAGGAAAATATTCAGTATGTATAATAAAACTTATATAGACAAGAGTGCACATGCTGAAATGTCTCGCCTTCTTTACTAATCATTGATATTATGTTGATAGTCCTAAATATAAAGCTTTATTACAACTGTCACATAAACTTAACATTAACCAAGTAAACTAAACATTGACCAATGAACCATGAAAATGAGGTCAAGGTCAGATGAACCATGCTAGGCAGGCATGAACAGCTAACAATTCTTCCATACAACAAATATAGTTGACCTATTGCTTATAGTTTAAGAAAAACAGACCAAAACACAAAAACTTAACACTGAGCAATGAACCTTGAAAATGAGGTCAAGGTCAAATAAAACCTGCGTGACTGACATATAGATCATAAAATATTTCCATACACCAAATATAGTTGAACTATTGCATATAGTATTAGAAAAAAAGACCAAAACTCAAAAACTTAACTTTGACCACTGAACCATGAAAATGAGGTCAAGGTCAGATGACACCTGCCAGCTAGAAATGTACATCTTACAATCATTCCATACACCAAATAAAGTAGACCTATTGCATACAGTATAAGAAAAACAGACCAAAACACAAAAACTTAACTATAACCACTGAACCATGAAAATGAGGTCAAGGTCAGATGACACCTGCCAGTTGGACATGTACACCTTACAGTCCTTCCATACACCGAATATACTTGACCTATTGCTTATAGTATCTGAGATATGGACTTGAACACCAAAACTTAACCTTGTTCACTGATCCATGAAATGAGGTCGAGGTCAAGTGAAAACTGTCTGACGGGCATGAGGACCTTGCAAGGTACGCACATACCAAATATAGTTATCCTATTACTTATAATAAGAGAGAATTTAAAATTACAAAAAATTTTAACTTTTTTTTCAAGTAGTCACTGAACCATGAAAATGAGGTCAAGGACATTGGACATGTGACTGACAGAAACTTTGTAACATGAGGCATCCATATACAAAGTATGAAGCATCCAGATCTTCCACCTTCTAAAATATAAAGCTTTTAAGAAGTTAGCTAATGCCGCCGCCGGATCACTATCCCTATGTTGAGCTTTCTGCGACAAAAGTCGCAGGCTTGACAATAAACCGACACAAGCAGAATACAATCATCACTTATATAAGTTGTAGTGTGATTATCCAGTTGACAATAGACCTTTCACAAGTTTGGATTCTGTGACACTTGTCCATTTCATGTCATACAACAATCACTAATGCTTTGTGGCGTCATATATTTTCTCCTGTGATGTCAAGATTTTACATGATAGATGTTAGTCAATAATCTGATTCAGACAAATTCGTCTGCTTCATATCAGAAACAATGTCACTATAAAGACATCTAAAACTGTACCTATAATATAACTTACCCGTAAGAAGTTGAGCGTATAGTTAGTTAGTCCCTGTCGTGTTATATTTTTGGATAACTGTTCAACCATTGAAGGATCCTGGAAAGAAAATAAATCACATAAAACAAATTTATGGTACCATATCTTTATTGTGTGACCTTTTCCTTTCTTACCATATATTTTTGTTTATTCCTGTTATTCCTTGGTATCATGTTATATTTGAGTCTCACAAGACCATAAATATATCGGGGTTATATGAAGAATAGATTTCACCCCCAGGATATCAATTTCAAACATTTTCTTTTTACTTCGAGTCAGTAACAATGGTAGTGAACCATGTATCTCTGAGTGTACCATCTGCTCAGTAGCTAATGCTTTGGTATTACCATGATACAAATGATATTTTTTGTGGACACTTAAACTAGTAAAATTACAACTTCTTCAAACAGGTGTCACGAAAATGTTGCCAATTGTGAATTTTTATGTTCTCTTGCAACAGATTTTTATGTTTTTGGTGACATTCCTAGCACTGATTAAAAATATATGGGGAGGGGTGTCTCTTCCTATATAAAAGTTTACACAGAAAAGCCGCTGGTATGGGTAATTTTTTTACGGAATGTCAAATATATCAATGGGGTCACATTTGGGGTGCCATTTCATGGAGGTACTATAACTGGGTTAAAAATTTATACATATATGTAAATGGTTCATAAATGTTCATCTTCTGTTAATTAGACGACTGTGAAAACTAATCAATGCGCTTGTGAGCAATGAAGGATAAAGATTGCATTCATTTTGCAGTGGAAAATAAAAATTAAACATGGCAATGTATTAAGCATAGGAAGGCATTTCTATGAATTGGAGATATTATGTATAAAGGAAGGTAACTCTTAATTTTAAATATTAATGTAACAATGACATCATTGATATTTCTAGAACAGATACTAGATTCATGCACCATGCACAATTTATGTAATTTTCTTGACGAGTATGGTTATACACATAAACATCATTTTGTAACTTGAGTATCCGAGAAAATTATACTTTAGTGAAATATCCCAGTTAATCCTGCAATTTGATTGGTGCCTTGACAGGGCAAGTACAATTTATTTTCTCTTGCAAATTTATTTTTGTTTTATCAAACTGTTAATTTTTTATAAATATCCTGATATCACACATTCCAAATTGAGATTTTAGCTTTATTTACCTTTTCTACTATAGTATTACATAAGAAGAGCTTCAATCATCAGTATTATTGTGAAACTGGGTGGGATTAGCTCTCTGTATTTAATTCTGATTACCTACATTACTATGACACAAGATGGAATAAGATTTAATTACCTGCATTGCTATGACACTACGTGGGATGAGCTCTCTGTGTTGGCGAACTTGAAAATGCCATGATCTAATTCTCATCAAATCGTCAAACGTAAATTCTAATATCAATCTGCCTTCTGTAACAACCTAAAAAATATATTCATCGACATCTTAATACATGTATTATAAATTTAAACATCAGTAACTAAAGACTCAAAGGAGCCTGTATTTTTGCGTAAAATTGATACAACCCAACAAAAACATTAGTGCTGAATGGAAACTGTGTGGGTAAAAATCTTGCTTTGCTGATCATTTTTGCTATTTTAAGTGTCTGTAAGACTAATATAGTTTGAAAGATATTAAAGCAAAACTGAAAAAAACGTGTTAAAATTGAGACTTAAGGTTTACAACTCATGTAAAGTGTCTATTTAGACAATATCATTCATATAAATTTATTTGTAGATCATATGTTGCTGATCAGTTTCTCTATTCAAAGTCTCAGCTATCTAGTACAGTTTTCAGGATGATTATATATTTGGTTGAGGCTAACTTACGTTAGAGAACAGAAACGAAAAATTCAGCAATTTTTATGTTTATAAAGGGGCATAACTCAAGAACCGTAAAAGTGATGCCACCCAATTTCGAACATGATCTGTGTTTTGTGGTAATAAGCATTGTATATAAGTTTCATAACATTTGGTTGAGGCAAACTAAAGTTAGAGAACAGAAACAAACTTTGGGACATATGGACGGACGGACAAGGGTAAAACTTAATGCCCCCTCCTCCACGGCGGGGGCATAAAAAATTTGTTAAAGCGTTTTCATGTTATTGTGGAGACACTGTTTGGCAGCCGCCCGTCCGCCGTACATCCCCAATTTAATAACCGATATTTCCTTTGAAAATCCGGTTAAAAATGAAATTGGCAATAACTCCTATAATGAGTTGACAGACAATTTAGTTAATTTATACTCATTTGGCTTTCCTTTTTTATTGATCATTTTTGCTAATCACAGTTTCTCTATATCTACTAAATTAAAAGTTCCTAAAAAAAATGGTAAAAGTAGTCAAAAAATTGTAATAACTCTTATAAGGAGCCAACTGACGATTTCAACAAAATTGCCCTCTTTGTAAATCTTATTTTGTTGATCATTTTAACTATATAAAGTCTCTCTTTCTATAAATAATAGTTGGCAAGATAATAAACAAAAGCTGTGAAATTTGCTAAAAATTGACATTTCAGAGGCAATAATAGATTGTCCTATTTAAAAAAAAAAAAATCATGATATCTTGACCTGCTGATAATATTTACTCTTAATGTTTTCTCTAATTGCTTTATTTCTTTTTTCAGATATAAGCCAAAACCTGCCTTTGTTCTATTCTTAGCAACAGCAGCCTTGTTTGTTCATTGTTCAAACCCTGTGATAAAAATTTAAACTAAATTCCCTAAGGAACATTCAGGTAAAGTTTGGTAATATTAAGCCCAGTAGATTCAAAGGAGAAAATTATATAAAGTAAGGGATGGCAACAACGGAACCCAAGTCATGCTAAATAATTAGTTTCCGGTGACTTGCTAGATCCAATAGCAAAAATATTTCTTAATGTTGTGTATGGATATATTGTACAAGTTCTAAATTCTTTTGAATCTTAGTTATTCTGCTTTACTTGCTTTTAAGCAAACAATTTTGTGTCTTTTTTACTTTTAAATTTCACAAATGACTTATTATGTTTAATAATTTATTTTGGTGGATATTCATTGCATCAGGAGTGTTTAAATTTATTTATGTGATATTGTGTCCTGGACGTGTGAAGGTCACTTGCTGGTTTACCATGATAGCATGGTCTCAGTCAAGGGTGATTGATAATGGCCTTGAACTGTGAAGGTCACTTACCTTCGTAAGCATATGTTTGCCATGATGTGTTACCATGGAAGCATGGTCACAGTCATGGGTGATTAATGCATTATATATAACAATGACCTTGATCTGTGAAGGTCACTTACTGGTTTACCATGATAGCATGGTCTCAGTCAAGGGTGATTAATGTGTTATGGGTGATAATAGCCTTCACCTGTGAAGGTCACTTACCTTAGTAAACATAGGTTTGCCATGATGTGTTACCATGGTAGCATGGTCACAGTCGAGGGTAATTGATGTATTATGAAATGATTCTTTAGTATGCTTCAATATGTAGTAGAGATCTGTAACTCCTCCCTCAAATATACTTCTGAAATACCGAGGTATTAACGTTCTTCCAATAGCTGCAATAGAAATATCTCAATTCTGAAACATAGCCTCGATCAAATATAAGTCTAGATATACCGAGATAATAAAGTCTTTCCATGAGTCATGCTCAAGTTATTTATACAAAAGGTAGAGTACATTTGCAGTACAATTTAGAGACAGCATTTTTCATTTACTTATCAGTCAGTGACTTACTATTGTCATTATAGTATCCTGGAGTTATAAATTTAACCATCATGAAAAAGTAATACATAAAAAAATAAAATGCTCCGCTGGGGCGCAGCTTGATACGACCGCAGAGGTCGAACCCTGAACAGTTGGGGCAAGTATGGACACAACATTCAAGCTTGATACAGCACTGAATTTGGATTGTAATTAAATATTTGACACAGCATAGGTTTCTCACACAGAATGAAAGTGGTCTAAGAACTTAAAATTTTTTAATTTACCTATTCAAACCATATCGTTATTATTTGCTTTTATATATACATCAGAAATAACCAATTTAAAATGGAAAATTTTAAAGAAAAAAACATACATGTGATGGACTGTGAAACTCAGATCAGGAGATTGGAAAATTTTGGTCAGGAGATTAGGACTCAGATCAGGAGGTTTTTAATCGACATAAAGTTTGTCGTAAATGTAACCGTGTGCTGTAAAAATTGTCTTTTAAAGTGTGTTTTCTTCAACTTTCAATCCGAAATGTATTATGTATTATGTTTATAGTACCCTTGTACTTATAAAGTTTCTTTATCTTAATATTCTACATGTTCAATCTAAGATTCTTTTTTTTTAGTATGTTCTTTAAATTATTCAATTCATATCTTTTATATCATTATTCTATAGGACAAACATTGCAATCAGATCATTTGTTTACCTATCTGCTTTTGCAGTTAGATTTTATTTGAATATTCAGAAACTCATTTAAATTTTGAACATGGGTCATAGTTATTATATGAATTCAATTTAAGCCTTGAAAGAAAGTATAGAACCCTCAAATAATTTTCAAATTATTATTTTTTGATTTGTCCTAAGACATTTAAAATCATTTAATTACCATCCTTTTATGATTATTTGTTCAATTTATATTTTATTTATATTCTTTTAAAAATTTACATTATTTAAAGGAAAGTAACTTAAAACAGGAAAAATCAGGGGAAGTAACCCAATAAATACACAAAGTTTTTATTACACAACGGCAGTTAGCCTGAGGTAAAAATCGTTGATTACCAGTATGTTTGACATCCAAGCTGACAAGTGAAGCCATATAATTATGCATGTTAATTGATTTACAGGTAAAATACAACTTCAGGTGATGTCAGTTACACCAGATGTCTGAGATGATATGTTGGGCAGATTTCATACATAGGATTTTTTTCTCTTCAACGCGAGGTCGGGAGGAGACCCCTGAAAACGGGATTATTGTTCTCCCGTCGGGAGGTTTACATGTATGAAAAAAAGAAAAAAAAATCCCCCAAATTTTTTTGAACCCCCTTATGATTCATCACCCCATTGGCCCAAACTCAATCCCAGCTTTCCCTTTGTGGTATGGTACCTTGCAGTACAATTTCAGAGAGATCCATACACTTGAACACAAGTTATTGTCTTGAAACTAGAAAAATGCTTGTTTTTTGGCCCCAAATTCCTAAACGTTTAGGGCAATTACCCCCAAACTCAAACCCAGCTTTCCCTTTGTGATATGGAACCTTGCAGTACAATTTCATAAAGATCCATACACTTACACACAAGTAATTGTCCTGAAACTAGAAAAATGCTTGTTTTTTGCCCTTTTATGGCCCCTAATTACTAAAATTTTGAGGCAATTACCCCCAAAATCAATCCCAGCCTTCCCTTTGAGGTATGGTACCTTGCAGTACAATTTCAGAGAGATCCATACATTTGAACACAAGTTATTGTCTGGAAACTAGAAAAATGCTTATTTTTGGCCCCTTTTTGGCCCCTTATTCCTAAACTTTTTGGGCAATTACCCCCAAACTCAATTCCAGCTTTCCCTTTGTGATATGGAACCTTGCAGTACAATTTCATAAAGATCCATACACTTACACACAAGTTATTGTCATGAAACTAGAAAAATGCTTGTTTTTCGCCCCTTTTTGGCCCCTAATTCCTAAAATATGGAGGCAATTACCCCCAAAATCAATCTCAGCATTCCCTTTGTGATATGGAACCTTGTGATACAATGTCAGAGAGATCCATACACTTACACACAAGTTATTGTCATGAAACTAGAAAAATGCTTGTTTTTTGCCCCTTTTTGGCCCCTTATTCCTAAAATTTGGAGGCAATTACCCCCAAAATCAATCCCAGCATTCCCTTTGTAATATGGAACCTTGTGGTACAATGTCAGAGAGATCCATACACTTACACACAAGTTATGTCTGGAAGTTACAAAAATGCTTATTTTTGGCCCCTTTTTGGCCCCTAATTCCTTAACTGTGGGTACCATAACCCCCAAAATCAATCCCCACCTTCCTTTTGTGGTATTGAACCTTATGGTAAAATTTCATTGAGATTCATTCACTTAAACTAAAGTTAGAGTGCGAAAACTAATGTGTATTCGGACGACGACGACGACGCCAACGTCATACCAATATACGACCACAAAAATTTTTTTGCGGTCGTATAAAAACTAAAAAAAAAAAAAATCTAACATAGTATGAGAAGACTAAAAAGTTCCATTTCAAAACAATTGAAGATTTGAACATGAAACAACTAAATAAACTGCTGACACAGAGATATATCTTGCTTGTCTGCAGACAAATAAAAAAAGATAATCTGATGGACAGCAACAATTCTAATTAAGTTCCTGGACCATGACATAGAGGGCAGCACTTCAAAATGATCCTCAAACTGAGATGTGCTGATAGTAATGCAACTTTATAGAAATATCATTGTCTATCATTAGTTTCCTATCAAACTGACTTAAGCAGAAAAATTTCCATTAAAAATTGCTAATTATTTCAAAGTCACTGGATCATAACCTAGGGGGCAGAGCCTTGAAATAGTCATCAAACTGATAGTAATACAACTTTATAGAAAATGTCATTGATCTTTCACAAGTAGTTCCTATCAAACTGACTTAAGCAGAAAACTTAACAATTATTGACACCGCCCCGCCAGAAAAGCAACACCTATGTTCTACCTTCTGCAACTTTCTTCGCAGGCGAGACAAAAACTGAAGCTGACAAGGTATGACGTACATCAGAATTCCATTTATATAGTTGAGTATAAAAGATGATATATAAACCAAAGACTAAAGTCTGTATGCAGTTCAGAAGATTCAGTGAGTACAGCTGAAACTAACCTTAGACCTATCTTCTTAATTAAATGACAATGTCAAACTGGTGTCGTTATAAACTAATTCTGCTGTATACAAATCACATCACAAAAGTATCACTATCTTGGAACAAGAATACTTGTACATAGGACACCATGCCCTGCTCGCACTATCTTATTTCAATATTTAGCGAACTGTCTAATTCTTGAACAAAACCATAACTTGGCATATACATGTATATTAAACAGTACACTTCATACTGAACATGTGTACAAAGTTTCATGTTGATGTGACCTCAAAAAACCCCTAAACCTAAACTTTAACCAGAGACATGTATGCATGCCCAGGCATACAAATACAACACATAGAAAGATAATACTAACTGTAACGTTTGGGTCCGTCTTCTAAATAAAATGACAGAGTCATGCTGGCATCATCTTCAAAGAATTCTGTAGCAAAGGATTCCCACCATAAGATATCACTCTCCTGAAAGATAGTAAAAAAATAGTCAGAACTTATTAAACCAATGGCATGCCATTAAATATAGTTGCCAACCACACATTCACTAGATGCCATCATGACAATCCCATCACCCATTACATAATTAAGTTTATCACCATATATATTTAGACAAATCCTCTGTACCTGTATTCTTTCTGTACTAGATTGTCCCTCACTGTAGAGTACTAGATCTAAAACCAAGATCTTATGATATTGTCATTGATTTTCTTTTTCTTTCTTTTTTTTTTAGAAATGTGACTGTATTAGAAATAAATGAAAATTTAAAATATTTTCTACAATGTTATTATGTGGTTATTTTTACCTCACCTTCAAAAACATACCAGCATGCTGTTAAATAAAAACTTCTCTGAGCGCAGCCTGATTTGACCGCAGAGGTCGATCCCTGAACAGTTGGGGCGAGTTTGGACACAATATTCAAGCTTGATACTGTCTGAATTTGGATTGTGATAAAATTTTTGACATAACACAGGTTTCTGACACAAAATAAATGTGTTCAAAGATCTTAAAAATCTATTGCGCAATACTTTCAATTGAAGATTTCTTCTTGAAACTTTTCAAAAAATTTGAAATTTCAAAAAATTTGAAGAAAAAATATTGAGAAAAAATCCCCCCCACAATCTTTTTGACCCCCCCCCTTGGAGTAATTACCCCCAAACTCAATCCCAGCCTTTCCCGCCTTTCCTTTGAGGTATGGAACCTTGTAGTACAATTTAAGAGAGATTTATACACTTAAACACAAGTTATTGTCTGGAAACTAGAAAAATGCTTGTTTTTGGACCCTTTTTTTCCCCTAATTCCTTTATGTTTTGGGGCAATTACCCCAAACTCAATCCCAGCCTTCCCTTTGTGGTACAATTTCAGTGAGATCCATACACTTACACACAAGTTATTGTCTGGAAAGTACAGACATGTTTTTGGCCCCTAATTCCTAAACTGTTGGTACCATAACCCCAAAATTAATCCCAACCTTCCTTTTGTGGTATTGAACCTTCTTGTAAAATTTCATAGAGATCCATTCACTTAAACTAAAGTTATTGTCTGGAAACCAAATGTGTCTTCGGACGACGACAAAATCATAGCATTATACGAACCCAAAAAAATTTTTTGCGGTCTTATAATAACAAAGAAAAATAAAACTTTGCCTTTAAGGGGAACATTTTTTTTACATGTATTCTTGCATTATTGTCTGTAAACACTGACATGAAGACAAACCAGTACTTTACCACTTAAATAAGTGCAATTTAGTAGTACAAACTGAACAGAATAAAAATGTGTCTTTCAAGTCTAAGGAACATTTTCTACCTACATATGTACAGGAATATATAGTTTTGTTATCACAAATACAATGAATTAAAATACTCAAGTTTAATTGGCCTTTTCCTGTTTGTTTAAACATGTACATGTTTTTATGCAAATAATAAGTTAACAGCTGCAACACAATTAAAATAAAAATCCATATGAAAAGGGAAGAACACAGTGCCTTGCTTTAATTCAGCATTGAAAAGCATTAATACAACAGACCCTTACAACATAACAAAATTCCTTTAAGCTATAAAATAACATCGTAATTTTACAGGAAAATGTGTGACATTCTCCCAGTACAATAGCAGAATCACAGTCTTTGAATAAACTGAACCTAAATTATTTTATAAAACAAACAAATGAGGAATCTCAGTACACTATAAGGTTGTAATTATTTATATCTGTTCATATTACTTGATATATGAGTAGGAAATCAAATAGTGTTGTAAAGATGATATGCTCTGCATAACAATAGGATACACACATATAAAGTAAGCTTAATGTCAAACAATTGTGTCAAGTTTTGTTTAAATCTGATGTGTCGGAAATATATTAGGTAACAGGAAATAACTAGTAATAAATTGCATATCTTCCTCAATTTGCATAAAGTAGTTCCCACTGTTTTGAACAGTCAAATTTATCTTTGTTACTTAATGTTTCTTATAAAGGCAGCAAAAGTTAATCAATCAAAATGACATAAATGAAATCAATTTTACAAACTGCTCTGAAGATTTCATATTAACAACAAAGTAGTATGGTGGCACACAATAAGTTTGAATTTGAGCTGACAGCTCACTTGTTTGCCCTACGCCCTCTAAAAACATACGAACAGGGGTAAAACAGTATATTCCTTCCTTCAGTCAGGGGTACTACTTGTACAAGTAATCTTTATTTACTTGAAGAAGTAAATAAAATAAACTTATATAAGTTAATTATAATGTTTGAATAATCTCCCCTTAATTTTCTCAAAAATTTACTTGTATAAGTAAATTTTTTTTACAATCCCACAAAAATTCTCAAGTTTTGAGATGTAAAAACATGCCTTTAACAATTTTTCTCAGGTAAGCTCATAATTTTTGATTAGAGTTCAATGTTTCATCTCATTAATTCAACAAAGAAACTGATTGCAGCAAAGATTTGTGCAAGGCCTTCAAAAATTGCCCCTTGGGGGCTTGTAAATGAGCAGTGTTCTGAAGATAACAGACAAACGAGATTTTCATTGTCCATGAAATTACACTTAAATGATTAGTTAAGATATCTGCAAAGGACAGACAATCAAAAATTCTATTAGAGCAAAGAAGTCCTAAGAATTCAAGAAAAGAAGATAGGATGACTTTTTTACTTGTATAAGTAAAAAAATCTGAATGTCTATGGGACATAACTAAGCCCAATTTTTTTTACCTATACAAGTAAATAAAATACACTTGTATAAGTATCCTAAAAATTTACTTATATAAGTATATTAATATTTACTTCTTCAAGTAAATAAAAATTACTTGTACAAGTAGTACCCCTGACTGTCCTTTGGAGCTGGGGTTATAATTACATGTGTGTGTGAAGATTCTCTCCATTCTGAAGTACCTATACACAGTCATAGTGCAGAATTAAACCATGAATGATGATTATATAGAGACAATTATATTACAAAAGCTCATAATCATAACAATGGTAAATAAACTGTTATAGCAATACTTTAACATGTAAGTTATGCAAATTTTCGAAGTCAATGAACCATGACTGAAGGTACATGGCTAAACAACCTCCATGGAAATGAGATGTGCCAATGCTTATACAACTGCATACCAAATACAATTGACTTATTATAAGTCGTTCCCTTTAAACAAACCTAAACACAAACATTATCTTGTAAACTATGTAAAAGTTTCCAAGTCAATCATGCCTGATGGGGCGGGGCAAAATATTTTCCATGGAAATGAGATGTGCTAATGCTTATACAACTGAACACCAATTAACATTAGCCTTCCACTAATGGTTCCTCTTGAACTGACCTAATCACAAACTAATACATGTAAACTAAGCAAAAGTTTCAAAGTCAATAGACCATCACTGAGCAGATAGGGCCAAATAATCTCCATGGAAATGAGATGTGCCAATGCTAATACAACCGCATACCAAATATCATTGACCTATCACTTGTCATTCACCATAAACTAGACCTAATCACAAACTAATACATTGTTGACGCCGCTGGAAACAGCATACCTATGTCTCGTTTTTTGACTCCGTCAAGGCGAGACAAAAATAAAATGAAGGGGGTGAAATTTGGTATGCTGCACAATTCAGATTTATGATTATGAGAATTTGAAGTTACAGGATAATAATTGGTAGACATGCACATGTCAATAAATAGAGAATGTCGAGTAAAATCTACCATCCTGCAGATTATGGATTTTTCTAATGTAGGACATTTTAATAAATTGACGAAATCTTATGATTCCCTTTGTTATCACTTTTTATAATATCTGTGAGTGAAGAGTGTAAATTGTGGTCTCAGTGTGTACAGTACCCCTATAGAGCCTCAGTAAATAATACACTGTATATGGTATCAAGTTACCTTGATCAAATTTAATGTATTTCCTTCAGCATCTTGTCTTATATAATTAATTGTACACAACACCTTAAAACAAAACAACTTGTTTGTTGTTATATAGATAATGAATATATATGTATATAATATCCCTATGGTAAAAAGTACAATTGTAGATACTCAAGTGTGTTACATAATAATGTATTCCTAGGCTTCAAAGTAGCCAGAGATTATGATTTGTTACATGTAAATAATCTCAGATATGAAAAAAAAGTGTGTATGTCAATGAGACAGCTACCAAACAACACATCATTTTAACTTTGAGTCTACACTCAATAATGTAATGATCTTGAACAAATATTTTATGAATAAAATGAGATGTTGGGAATAAGTGAATGAGACAGAAACTTAATACTACAAAGTCATCTTTAATTTGGTCTACCATCAACTCCCTCCCCCCATTACCCCCCCCCCCCCCCCCCCCCCCAAGTCAATGAGACAGAAACTTAATACTACAAAGTCATCTTTAACTTGTTCTACCATCAACTCCCTCCCCCCATAACCTCACCCCCAACAAATGTCATTATAAAATAGATTAAATTTCAATTTCAAAAACAGGGATTATCTATTTCATTTAAGTTAGGATAATCATGCATGTATAAAGAAAACCTGAATCATCCTTATAACAATTGCATCAGTACCCTTAATGTTGGATTTTTCAAGAGTACTATTCACCAAGTAGTCAGTACATCTAGTATCTGTACATGTACTGGAATGATTTAAATGATACATTTCAGTCTAAATTCCCATTTCATGAAATATGCAACTCCCTCAGGCAATCTGGCCATAGGTAGATTTGGCTGACCTTTATTTTCTTTGGCAAAGACATTCTATAATGAGTAATCAAATTATTTAGGTGTCCGTTCCTCTTTTTAAGCAAGATTGTTATCTTGTGGCTGTGTTTTGAGTCGATTTAGATCTTGGCATTTGGTATGGACACTTGTTAAAGACGATATGCAGACCACTTGATGTTTTTTATTAATTATTTCGTTTTGATGCATCTCATTATAGTATACACAACATACAATTCCTTTAATTTATAGGAATCTGATCATCAAATCAGAAATCAATTGCATAAAGCCTGAATTATGTTTTTCTTTCAAACAGAACAAAAGGAAATCCCAAAAAGATTCCTTCTTAATTACATTTTCATATCCAGTCTGGTTTAATTTGAATTATGCAGTTATTTGGGCAAGGTGAGATAAGTTTGTAATTAAAAGTAAAATATTACTGACTCACACCAACATGGGTTACAATACAATGTATCATCCTTTTGTAAGAAATGAAAATACAAAAAATTCTCAAAGTCACTTAATTAAGCATGAAATGTAGGGCAAGGTAACACAAATGTTGTTGATTTTCTGAAACTATTTCATTCATAGAAATAACTACAGCGGTCAAAAATAGCTTTCTGAAGAACAAAAAACTTTATTAGCCAAATCTGGTTGTAATTGCTATGAAAAATGCCATGTAAACATTGTCAAACAGTTCCAGTAATGGCACCCATTATTATCACAAAAGGAGTAACCAATTTACCTTTAAAAAAAGGAAATAGTTTAAAAGCATTTAAGCAGATAAATTTAAAAGCCAATTAAAACTGATGACAAATTTTTGTTGCTTGTCATAATAAATCATAAAATGTGCTGAAACAAGCAGAGAAGGTAATAATTATAATGTAACATAACAGGAAACATGGCCTGGTTTCCTGTTGTTATCTGGTAACCTTTCATCATACTTCACATAACTTTATTTTATTTAAAAATATGTTAAGTTCATTCACTGAACTCAAAGGTATACAGTACACTTATGTATGACTTGTTGAACATTAAATGTAAATACATGTACAATATATTCAAAATTTTGAAAAAAGGGCTTAAAAACAAATGAAATATCATAATCATTTATCATATAAAATCAAACTCCTATAACTACATTTAGTCAAAAATACAGAAAGCAAAATAAATAGTCACTACAAAGCTATTTAAGAGTCCATAATGACTGACATGACCTAATTTGGCAGTGATAGTCCATTCTAACTCACGGAATCATATCTACCAGTAAATAATCCACAATAACAAGACCTTATAATTATCTTGGAGTAAACAATCCATTATAACTATATGAAATATAGTCCAAAATAACTAACAGGACCTTATCTTGCAGCAAAAAAATATCCATTTTAACTAACATGAAATATTATCCACTATACATGTTGTAATTAACAGGACCTTATCTCTCAGCAAAAAATCCATTATATTAACTAACATGAAATATAGTGCACAGTATAATTAACAGGATATCATTTTGTGGTTAAAAGACCACCATAACTAACCAGACCTCATTAACAAGTAAATAGTCCATTATAACTGACAGGACCTCATTAACAAGTAAATAGTCCATTATAACTGACAGGACCTCTATAACAAGTAAATAGTCCTTTATAACTGACAGGACCTCATTCACAAGTAAATAGTCCATTATAACTGACAGGACCTTGTTTACCTATAAATAGTCCACTACAGCAGCTGACAGGAAGTTATTTTACAGTAAAACATCTATTATATTTGATAGGACCTTCTATAGCAGTAAATAGTCTATCATAACTGACAGTAACTCAAATTATACCAGTAAAAGTCCAGTATAACCAACAGATCTTATTTTGAGGTAAATAGTCAATTATAACAAACAGGACCTTTTCTGGCAGTAAATAGTCCATTAAAGATTAAAACAAAGTACAATTCTTTTACCTGGTAGTAAATTAATGGTCCATTATAAAATTACAATTACAATGCTCAATATATATTACAGTTGTAGACCACCATCCTTGGTGTATACTTTTTCTTGGCTTAAATTCTAAATTCAAATAAGATAATTATTATCAATATTAACATTTTGTAACTGAAAGTTCTCAGTAAATAACATTACAGGCATACTTTGCTGGGTATGTATTTTTATCAATAAGACTTTTCCTTCGAATGAATTTTTTCATGGTTTAACAAACATAAAATAGGCTTCTTTACATTAACACGTAACACTTAAATCATATCTTCATAGAATGCATGGGAAGAGTGGCAGACCAATGTTTAAAAAAAAGACAGGGTGCCAAAATTTGGTTTAAATTTCCAAATACTTATCACTTGCATGCAATTAAAACAAAGGATCACTTTCTCTACCATGGGAAACCCAGTTCATTTTACTCTGCTACTGAATGGGCCCTTTCCCTTAAAGTTACTGATCATGATACTAGAAATAAATACAGCTTACCTCACTTCGTTGTTGTAGTCTTTTATTCAGCTCATGAATCCTATAGTCTGGCTGTCCCATGTATGGAGTATGTCTCCTATATAACATAGAAAATGGTGACAAATAAAAAGGATCATAGTTTAAACAATTCATTGTATGTACATCGTCAAAAAAACCACTTTCCCACGTAAATATCAATTATCTGTAGTATCTTCCTCTCACATGTGTAGTATAATTTAATCAGGACACCAGGTGCCCCACTATAAAACAATAAGTGTTGTTAGGGGGTGTCCATAGGAAATTGTCCTACTTTATCTAGCTCAGGACCTAAATCATCTTACATTTCCTTAGAGGCACATGATGGGGACAATATTATAGTTTGTTATCATTTGATGAATAATTTTAACATGGGAATATTTTAGGATGATTTCCCTGTTTTTATCAGGTAGACAATGTACTTCATTTATAATGTTAAATGATCATTAAATAATACTACAAATTAACACTTCTTGTGTGTTCATAATTCAGGAATTTTTGGAAGATCCTTCTATTGGAAATAAATTAAGATTTTATGGTAAAAACATAAGGTAATTATGACATTATAATAATACAATACACAAGAACATGATTTTATTCAAAACCAAAATTGGAAATTCCTGTACAGAGATCAAGACCATAAAAACTTCCTGTTTTTGTATGAAAAGGGATTCCTGGGATTTCTAGACTAAAATAGGGACCAGAAGGGGTCCCGAGTTTTAGGTACAAAAAGGGGGAATAAAGTCATGATAATTTAAAGTAATTAATGACACTTGTGTACAATTTGATTGAAATATTTCCGGTTTTACAAGTTCTGGCTAACTTTCAGTGGAAGTGGCCTTGGATTATGAATTGAAATCTGAAAACATTTGGTCTTTATCTGTGTAATGGCCCTGAATAAACCTTGTCCTTCAATTCTATGTATATATATATATATATCCTGACAAGTATAAAGGAATAGTTTATAAAATTTTATTTTCAGCTTGTATGTTCTTCAGCTATTTATTACACAAGGCCACAGGTATATTGTTCTCTTAAGAACTGTATTCCATCATATACTCCCTTTGATGTAAGGCATGGTTCATTTACAGACAGTTTTCTAAGTTAAAAAAAAGTACTCTTATCAGTTGTTTAAATCAGTATTCAAAGAAACTTCCAAGGAGGTTCTTCTATTCAGGACACATACTGTGACATGGTCATTCAAATGAATACTTTCAGTGTGTGAATAAAATCTTTTAAATAACAAGAAATGTTATGACCTGGCAAAAATTTATTTCCTAAAGGTAGAAATTCAACAGGAATTAAAATAAACCACTGTGACCATAATCTGGAAAACCATAAAATAAGTGAATAAACTGCTTCGCTGAGCGCAGCTGGATACGCCCGCAGAGGTCCAACCCTGAACAGTTGGGGCAAAAATGGACACAATATTCAAGCTTGACATAGGTCTGAATTTGGATTGTATTAAATATTTGGCATATTATAGGTATCTGAATAAATGTAGTCAAAGAACTTGAAATTGGTTATATGAATTGAATTTATATTCAATTAAAGACGTCTTGCTGTTGTGCAATACACTGTGCTGTTGCGCAATACTTAGTAAATCTGTTGTCAGACTATAAACAATTAAAGTTCAATTAATTCTCAATGTCATATTAGAAATTTATGAAAATGTAAAAGGAGTATAAACAATTCACCAAAGTTTCATGAGAACTGCTGACAGCATTTTTGAGTTATTGTCCGAAAACTGGAAAATCCTCCTTTTTTTTATAAATAAAACCCTGTAACTCGGAAACGTAAAATCTAAAATAAATAAAAATCAAAAGGGAGCTCATGTCAATAGATATAAACAATTCACCACAATTTCTTGCAAGTTGGTGAAAGCATTCTTGAGTAATTGTCCGAAAGCTGGAAAATCCCCCTTTCTTTAATGAATAAAACCCCATAACTCGGACACGTAAAATCTAAAATTTATAACAAACGAAAATGAGCTCACGTCAGTAGATATAAATAATTCGCCAAAGTTTTATGCAAATTGGTTAAAGCGTTTTTGAGTTAATGTCCGACATGTTGACGACGGACGGACAACGGTATACCATAATACGTCCCGTAAACGAGCGTATAAAAATGTACAATGGGAACTATGATAGGAAACTTGCACTTGATGCAACATGATTTAAATAGTCCAGCAGTCACTTTTGAATCTTTTTTTATTAGTCCTACACCTAAATGCTATATTGGAAACTCTGAATGTTAAATTTCAAACTAAAATAAAAGGGAACTTTATAAAACAAGGAAGATGTCTGTTAAGGAAATAGCAATTGTAAGGCTTAAAAAGAAATTATTAAAAGGTTATAGGATCACAATAATAGTTAATACATTCCTTTTATTCTTGACCATGTTCAAATATAGGACAACAACTTATTACTATAATTACATTTGTACATATTTGCATATTTGCCATTCAAATATTTTGTGAATATGTCAATGTGTTTAGTATGGGCATAGAGGCTGTATCCATCATGCCTCGCCTTAAATTTGAAAAATGGATTTTGCCCTTGGTGTTACTACCTTAAATTGGAAATAAACAGCTGCGCCATGAGCGCATGATACGCCCTTCACTTTTTCAAAGAATAAAGTTCAATAACTTCTCAATGTCATATCAGAAAATCATGAAAAACTAAAGGGAGGTTATCCTAATAGTTATAAACCAGTCACCAAAGTTTTATGATAACTGCTCAAAGCATTGTCTGAAACTGGAAAATCCCCCCTTTTTTATGAATAAAATCCGAAATTTAAAATCTTAAATTTATAAAAATCAAAAGGGAGCTTACGTCAATAGATATAAACAATTCACCAAAGTTTCATAAAAACTGCTGAAAGAATCTTAGAGTTATTGTCTGAAAACTGGAAAATCCCCCCTTTTTTCATAAATAAAACCCCATAACTTAGAAACTTTAAATCTAAAATTTATAAAAAACGAAAGGGAGCTCACGTCAATAGATTCCACTAGCAGTCTCAGTAATAATACTTATCTGAATACTGAACCTCTTTATATGCATACATGTGTTCTGCTATTTATCGATTTGATAAGTTAAGCTCTTTTAAGCTGATTTTTATAGTTTGTTCATATGTTATGCTGTTACACAACTGTCCCAGGTTAAGTGAGGTTTGGGCGCCCACAATGTTTAACCCCGCCACATTCTATATGTGCAGGATTGTGTCTGTCCCAAGTCAGGGTCCTTTTATTCAGTCGTTGTCTTTTGTTGCTGTATATCATATTTGTTTTTCGTTCGTTGTTCTATTCATAAATCAGGCCATTAGTTTTCTCATTTGAATTGTTTTACATTTGTCATTTCTGGGCCTTTTATAGCTGACTATGTGGTATGGGTTTTGCTCATTGTTGAAGGCCGTACAGTGATCTATAGTTGTTAATTTCTATGTCATTTGGTCTCTTGTAGAGAGTTGTCTCATTGGCAATCATACCACATCTTCTTATTTTTATATATACATAAGTGAAAACATTGCATTAATTTCTGAATTGTACTATTATTTTCTAATGTTGGAAAAACTGTACAATGGGAGATAACTCTAAGTCGTCATCCATTTAAACAACAAACATTTTAACAAAATCAGACAATTTTCTTATCAGTAGGTTGAAAATTGCAAAGATTATAGTGAGTCATGAGACTGTCTTGGTGAAGAATCTGAGTTCTGATGTACAATTCGAATGTGATCATCTAATAAAAAGCTGACAAAATAGGCTAGAATTAGATATAAATAATCAAAGCTCAAGAGTGCTGTAAAAACAGTTGCCAGCAAGTCAATGTTTCTGTGACTTCTAGTTTTCATCTTATTGTATAAGAATAACATTGGACAGGAGACTATATTGATCAAATTCAGAAAAAGGCTATTGACAATTGATTTTGAAAATGTAAACTTAACATTCAAAGAATAAAAATTCGTAAGGGTTCCGTGGAACCCAGTGTCTCACCTACTTTTGCTGCTAGTCACAGGCTCAACAAAAACGGAGAAAAAATTATTAAAAATTTTCCTATAGATACTATCTTTTGATTGTAAGAAGCTTCTGTCCAAGTTTGGTAAAAATCCAGAATGGTTATGAATCTAATAAATGTTTAAAAAACTTTAACTACAGACTGTATGTAATGTTAAGTCCATTTATAAGTTATATACTGAAAAACAGGAAATAAATGTTTATAAAATTTCCTCCAAGATACTAGCTTTTGATCATAAACAAGCTTATGTCCAAGTTTGGTACAAATCCAGGATAGTTTAAGAAAGTTATTAAAACTTTTAAAACTTTAACCACAGAGTGAATGTAATGTTAACTGGAAGAAAAACTAAGTCCATTTATAAGTAATATACGGAAAAACAGAAAATATATTTTTACAAAATTTCCTTCTAGTTACTAGCTTTTGATCATAAACAAGCTTCTGTCCAAGTTAGGTTCAAATCCAGGATAGTTAAGAAAGTTATCAAAATTTTTAAAACTTTAACACAGAGTGAATGTAATGTTAACTGGCAGGAAAACTAAGTCCATTTATAAGTAAAATAGAGATAAATAGGATTTTTTTTTTTTAAATTTACTTCTGGATACTATCTTATGATCATAAACAGGCTTCTGTCCAAGTGTGGTAGAAATCCTGGATAGTTTAAGAAAGTTGTTAAAATTTCAAAAACTTTAACCACAGAGTGAATATTTGTGGACGCCGCCGCTGACTACGAAGATGACCAAATGTAGGATCGCTATGTCTTGCTTTTGCGACAAAAGTCGCAGGCTCAACAAAAAATGTGTGAAACTGCGAGCAACTGCTCACTAATGATATCCCCGCATAAATATGGATAATTTTAATAGTGTAAAAATATGTAAGTGTTCAGTAAACAGAAAGTTGTTGAGTGATGAATCTGAAAACGCATCACAAGGTATAGCTGACTCATATAAACCCTGAAACCAAATTTCAGAAATTCTTGTAATGTAGTTCCTGAGAAAGATGCGAGGATGAATCTGAAAACACATCACACAGTATAGCTGACTCATAT